GCTAAAGTAGTGTTTCTTTTTTTAGAAGATTCAAAACCGAAAACTCATAGGACTTCGGCCACACCCACAAAGATTTAAGAATCAGTAAAAAGCTTGATTAGTGTTTTTGGAGACAAATATGACTAGATCTCTTGTGTATGATTGAGTATAAAACCTAGAACCGTAACTGGATCCTGAAAGATAAAGTAGTGTTTCTTTATTTAGAAGCTCCAAAACCGAAAACTCATAGGACTTTGGCCACACCCACAAAGATTTGAGAAGCAATAAGATGCTTGGTTAGTTTTTTTGGAGTCAAATATAACTAGGACTCTTGTGTATGATTGGGTATTCGAACTAGAACCCCAACCGGATCCTGAAAGATAAAGTAGTGTTTCTCCGTTTATAAGCTCCAAAACCGAAAACTCATAGGCCTTCGGCCACACCCACAAAGCTTTGAGAAGCAATAAGAAGCTTGGTTACGTTTTTGGTGTCAAATATGACTAGATCTTGTGTGTATGATTTGGTATAAGAATTTGAACCGCAACCGGATCCCGAAAGCTAATGTAATGGTTCTTTGTTTAAAATCTCCAAAACCGAAAACTCATAGGATTTCGGCCACACCTACAAATATTTGAGAAGCAATAAGATGCTTGGTTAGTTTTTTTGGAGTCAAATATAACTAGATTTCCTGTGTATGATTGGGTATTCGAACTAGAACCCCAACCGGATCTGGAGAGCTAAAGTAGTGTTTCCCTTTTTAGAAGATTCAAAACCGAAAACACATAAACTTCGGCCACACCCACAAAGCTTTGAGAAGCAATAAGAAGCTTGCTAAGTGTTTTTGGAGTCAAATATGACTAAATCTCGTGTGTATGAATGGGTATTGAAACTAGAAACGCAACCGCATCCGGAGAGCTAAAGTAGAGTTTCCCTTTTTAGAAGATTCAAAACCGAGAACCCATAGGACTTCAGCCACACCCACAAAGCTTTGAGAAGCAATAAGAAGCTTGGTTAGTGTTTTTGGAGTCAAATATGACTAGATCTCATGTGTATGATTGGGTATAAGAACTAGAACCGCAACAGGATCCCGAAAGCTAAAGTAGTATTTCTCTGCTTAGAAGTTCCAAAACAAAAAACTCATAGGACTTTGGCCACATCCACAAAGATTTGAGAAGCAATAAGAAGCTTGGTTAGTGTTTTGGGAATCAAATATGACTAGATGTCATGTGTATGATCAGGTATTCGAACTAAAACCGTAACCGGATTCGGAGAGGTAAAGTAGTGTTTCCCTTTTTAGAAGATTCAAAACCGAAAAGTCATAGGACTTCGGCAACACCCACAAAGCTTTGTGAAGCAATAAGAAGCTTGGTTAGTATTTTTGGAGTCAAATATGACTAGATTTCATGTGTATGATTGGGTATAAGAACTAGACCCGCAACCGGATCCCGAAAACTAAAGTAGTATTTCTCTGTTCAAAAGCTCCAAACCCGAAAACTCATATGACTTTGGCCACATCCACAAAGATTTGAGAAGAAATAAAAAGCTTGGTTAGTTTTTTTGGAGTCAAATATGACTAGATCCCGTGTGTATGATTGGTTATTCGAACTAGAACCGCAACCTGATACGGGGAGCTAAAGTAGTGTTTCTTTTTTTAGAAGATTCAAAACCAAAAACTCATAGGACTTCGGCCAAACCCACAAAGATTTAAGAATCAATAAAAAGCTTGATTAGTGTTTTTGGAGTCAAAGATGACTAGATCTCTTGTGTATGATTGAGTACAAAACCTAAAACCGTAACTGGATCCTCAAAGATAAAGTAGTGTTTCTTCGTTTAGAATCTCCAAAACCGAAAACTCATAGGACTTCGGCCACACCCAAAAAGCTTTGAGAGGCATTAAGAAGCTTGGTTAGTCTTTTTGGAGTCAAATATGGCCAGATCTCATGTGTATGATTGGGTATAAGAACTAGAACTGCAATAGGATCCCGAAAGCTAAAGTAGTATTTTTCTGGTTAGAAGCTCCAAAACAAAAAACTCATAGGACTTTCGCCACATCCACAAAGATTTGATAAGCAATAAGAAGTTTGGTTAGTCTTTTTGAAGTCAAATATGACCAGTACTGGTGTGTATGATTGGGTATAATAACTAGAACCGCAACCGGATCGCAAAAGCTAAAGTAGTGTTTCTCCGTTTAGAAGCTCCAAAACCAAAAACTCATAGGACTTTGGTCACACCCACAAAGATTTGAGAAGCAATAAGAAGTTTGGTTAGTGTTTTGGAGTCAAATATGACTAGTTCAGGTGTGTATGATTGGGTATAATAATTAGAACCGGAACTGGATCGCAAAAGCTAAAGTAGTGTTTCTCCGGTTAGAAGCTTTAAAAGCGAAAACTCATATGACTTCGGCCACACCCAGAAAGCTTTGAGAGGCAATAAGAAGTTTGGTTAGTGTTTTTGGAGTCTAATATGACTAGATCTCGAGTGTATGATTGGGTATAAGAAATAGAACCGCTACCGGAACCCAAAAGCTAAAGTAGTGTTTCTCCGTTTAGAAGCTCCAAAACCGAAAACTCATAGGACTTCGGCTACACCCAGAAAGCTTTGAGAGGCATTAAGAAGCTTGGTTATGACTGCAGAAACTGTCCAAATTTGTGCCAAGTATGAACCAGAAAACAGTTCCGAGATGGGTGATTGATGGCAACGTTTGGAGGTCGAAATAATGTCTGATCGGGACGAAATTTGGCAAAGAGCGTTATGGTACTACTCGATAGATAATCAACGGTGGGATTGCGTTTATAACGGTTAGTTCTTGACTTATGCATATGTTTCCGAGACAGATTTGTGTGAAGTAAATTGTGACGAGTTTGTATTGTTGGTTGGGTAAACGACCTCGGTTTGAGCTGAAGCTTTGTAGGAGCTTTCATGACTCTTGGAGTAAGGTCTTGGTTTGTGTAGAACCACAGTAGAGCTAAGGAGCATGTGGTTGCAGTTAAGACATTAAGTTTGTCTAAAGGAGAAAGGAGTCGAGAAATGTTATTCATCTTCAACTAGGCTAATGTGAGGGAGGTATTTGTGAAGCATAGTATCATTTTCTTTTGTTATGCTTCTTGACGCATGATATGTAAGCTTAGATCTGATTGTATATGATAATATTATGTGATGATATGTGAGTTGATGATTGTTCACTACTGGAAAAACGGGTATTAATAGCATTTTATTATAGCGTTTTATGTGTTTCTACTATAGTTGACTTATGCATGATTTTTTTGTAGCGTTTCGAAAATAAAAACGCTATGATATGTTAACGGTAAAAAAGTAATGTGTTCAATCTTAATTTTTAGTTCTCCAATTACTTAGTAATAGCACATACTATTGTAAAACGTCATCGTAAATTAACACCAATAAAAAAAAATTTCATTGCCACCTAAGCTATACAAAAAATTATCTAAAATTTCATTGTCCGCCTAAGTAATAAACAAAATAAAAAAAAAAAACATTTAACCTAACACCTAAACAATACAGAGTCTTATTGTCTTCCTTCCAATTAACACATCCTCCTTCCAATTATCATCATCTTCCTCTTCTCCGAGAAACACTACAACACAAAACCTTCCAAATCCAATGACCTAGTCGAGCTATCTCTCTTCCCAGTTCCTTTCAATCTCTTTCCGACGCAACGATCCCGCTTTAGATCTTCGAATTCCGTTACGAGTCATGATGCAAACACTCCTGAAGATTCTGAAAGCCAAAGAAGACCAATCACATCTTCTGTACTCCAGCTAATTCCTTAAACCGCCACCCCGACGAAATCTTCATTAATCGCAACAAGAGGGTGGAATCGATCAAGTTCCTAGCGTTGTTCGTAAGGAGGCTGAGACCTATGACTGCTTGCAACGTAAAATGTCTAGGTCTGTCCAAATCTGTGCCAAGTATGAACCAGAAAATAGTTCCTAGATGAGTGATTGATGGCAACGTTTGGAGGTCGAAACAATGTCTGATCGGGACGAAATTTGGTGGAGAGCTTTATGCTACTAATGGATAGATAATCAACGGTGGGATTGCGTTTATAACGGTTAGTTATTGACTTATGCATATATTTCCGAGACAGATTTGTGTGAAGTAAATTGTGACGAGTTTATGTTGTTGGTTGGGTAAACGAGCTCGGTTGAGCTGAAGCTTTTTAGGAGCTTTCATGACTCTTGGAGTAAGTTCTTGGTTGGTGTAGAGCTAAGGAGCATGTGGTTTCAGTTAAGACATTAAGTTTGTCTAAAGGAGAAAGGAGTCGAGAAATGTTATTCATCTTCCCCTAGGCTGGGGTGAGGGTGGTATTTGCGAAGAATAGTATCATTTTCTTTTTTTTATGTTTCTTGATGCATGATATGTAGGCTTAGATTTGATTGTATAGGATAAGATTATGTGATGATATGTGACTTGATGATTGTTGACTTTGATATGTGTTAGTATGATGTTTGATAAGGTGATGTTATGTATGAGTATGTTTGAATGATGGAGAGTGATGGACCGACGGGTTAACAGCTGGTCAAGAATGGCTGACGAGCCCGGAATGGGAGTGTCTGAGCCACGAGGGCCAACCTCCACTCAGGAGGTTCTAGTTGTCACGAGGATGACTGGACCTAACGATGTATATGTATGGTTATGTGGTTAAGATGAATGTCAAGAATGTTGTTATGTTTAGCAAGTAAAGAATGTTACGTGATTGCTAGTGTCTAAGTTTATATGTTATGATTATGGTTGCATAGCTTAAGAAAGTGTTCTATGTTTCAGTGGGCAGAGTTGATTTCCCTCACTGAGTATTCTTTACTCACCCTTTTTTCCCTCTTTCCTTAGGTGAATCAGCTTCATGAGTTGTTGTGCAATGTTTTGTTCGTGGGTGAAGTTTAAAGAAAATGTTTTGGCAAGATCAGATGAATAACATGCTGTCTTGGCCTGGATGGCGGGACGGGTGTTACGGAAAAAAACGGATCGTGAGTTTGGTTCCTTTCGATAGATCTTGCTGCATGGAATAAGAAGTAACGTTTTGTTCACGACCCAGGGTAAGATCCACCCGCAAATCGACAGTAGCTAGCCACGCACCTTAGCCTGCAAGAACATGTTAATTAATATGTTAGCTTTGATCCCTTGATTATGTAAGTTGTTGTTAAGATCTTCCTGCTTTGAGTGTGAAAATAAGATTAGTGTTTGTGCGCTAAAGTTTGATGGACATTGACAAGTTCTCAATTCTTTTAAGTAGTCATCAGAGTAGTGAAACGGAAGGATACATTTACTTACGAAGGGAAGTGATGGTTTCAAGTAAATAAGTAAGTGAGAAATTCTGTAGACGGATAACCGTTGTTTATGTAGCATTGTGTGGTCGCGGGAGTACACAGAGTTGCAAGTAAATGTAAAGTAAGCGTGTTCATATGAAAAGAAATCACCGTTGAGAATTCAAGGACGAATTCTATTTAAGTGGGGGAGAATTGTAACAACCCCCTCCCATATTATTGGGTGAATTTGTTTTGACATAATGATACAAGCCCAATAAAGTCCAATAGCTTCCTAAACAACTAGGGTTTGGTGTTTGTATGTGGTCATATATGTGTAGAAGCGTAAACATCTCCCTCTTCATTAGAAACGCCGTCAAGAGAAGAATAGAGAGAGAGACATAGATAGACACAGAGAGAGAGAGAGAGAAAAGAGAATTATGGCAAAGGCAACGTGATCACCACCGGAGCTTCACGTAGTCACCGTCGTTCACTTCCCCCACCGGAGCCGAGATCCATGGCACTAGTTTGTTTGGGTAAGAAAATCCTGACATAATTGTGTCTTCTTCGTCTACAAACCCTTGTTTTGATATGTTGGATCCTTATATTAAATCTGAGTTTTATTATGAAGAAGAAGAAGAGAAAACTGTGGCAAGTAAGGGTTTTGTGGATTGATTTCCCGTTGAAGCTAAAAGAGTTATATTGATATATTGACTTCTCTGAATCGATCTCGTTGCAAGGAAGCCATAGCAATTGACGGTTTATCAAACGGAGGTATATTCCATTCAGCATTTGTCTTGCAAGTTGATGAAAAGTCACTTGTACTGAATTCTTGAAAACCTAAGTTATTTCAGATAAAATTTCAGATTCAAGTTGGGGTTTTGTAAGGCTCATATCTGTCAAAGCATAGAGAATCAGTTGACTTTTAAGGTGTCTCTGGAAAGCTCATATTGTCAAGAATGCACAGCATGTGACGAAGATTAAATAGAGGTTATATTCAAGAAGTTATGAATGTTTCTTTCTAGCAAAGTAACTGCACAAACTGTCCAAATCTGTGCCAAGTACGAACCAGAAAATAGTTCTGAGATGGGTGATTGAGGGCAACGTTTGGAGGTCGAAACAATGTCTGATCGGGACGAAATTTGGTGGAGAGCTTTATGGTACTAATGGATAGATAATCAACGGTGGGATTGCGTTTATAACGGTTATTTATTGACTTATGCATATATTTCCGAGACAGATTTGTGTGAAGTAAATTGTGACGAGTTTATGTTGTTGGTTGGGTAAACGAGCTTGGTTTGAGCTGAAGCTTTTTAGGAGCTTTCATGACTCTTGGAGTAAGGTCTTGGTTGGTGTAGAGCTAAGAAGCATGTGGTTTTAGTTAAGACATTAAGTTTTTCTAAAGGAGAAAGGAGTCAAGAAATGTTATTCATCTTCACCTAGGCTAGGGTGAGGGTGGTATTTGCGAAGCATACTATCATTTTCTTTTGTTATGCTTCTTGACGCATGATATGTAGGCTTAGATTTGATTGTATAGGATAAGATTATGTGAAGATCTGTGACTTGATGATTGTTGACTTTGATATGTGTTAGTATGATGTTTGATAAGGTGATGTTATGTATGAGAATGTTAAATATGATTATGAGTATGTATGAATGATGGAGAGTGATGGACCGACGGGTTAACAGCTGCTCAAGAACAGTTGACGAGCCCGGAATGGGAGTGTCTGAGCCACGAGGGCCACCCTCCACTCAGGAGGTTCTAGTTGTCACGAGGATGACTGGACCTAACGATGTATATGTATGGTTATGTGATTAAGATGAATGTCATGAATGTTGTTATGTTTAGCAAGTAAAGAATGTTATGTGATTGCTAGTGTCTAAGTTTATATGTTATGATTATGGTTGCATAGCTTAAGAAAGTGTTTTATGTTTTAGTGGGCAGAGTTGATTCCCCTCACTGAGTATTCTTTACTCACCCTTTTTTTCCCTTTTTCCTCAGGTGAATCAGCTTCATGAGTTGTTGTGCAATGTTTTGTTCGTGGGTGAAGTTTAAAGAAAATGTTTTGGCAAGATCGGATAAATAACATGCTGTCTTGGCCTGGATGGAGGGACAGGTGTTACAGAAAGAACAAGATCTTGAATTTGGTTTCTTTCGATAGATCTTGCTGCATGGAATAAGAAGTAACGTTTTGTTTCACGACCCAGGGTAAGATCCACCCGCAAATCGACAGTAGCTAGCCACGCACCTGAGCCTGCACGAACATGTTAATTAATATGTTAGCTTTGATCCCTTGATTATGTAAGTTGTTGTTAAGATCTTCCTGCTTTGAGTGTGAAAATAAGATTAGTGTTTGTGCGCTAAAGTTCGATGGGCATTGACAAGTTATCAATTCTTTTAAGTAGTCATCAGAGTAGTGCAACAGAAAGATACATTTACTTACGAAGGTAAGTGACGGTTTCAAGTAAATAAGTAAGTGAGAAGTTCTGTAGACGGATAATTGTTGTTTATGTAGCATTGTGTGGTCGGGGGAGTACACAGAGTTGCAAGAAAATGTAAAGTAAGCGAGTTCATATGAAAAGAAATCACCGTTGAGAATTCGAGGACGAATTCTATTTAAGTGGAGGAGTATTGTTACAACCCCCTCCCATATTATTGGGTCAATTTGTTTTGACATAATGATACAAGCCCAATAGCTTCCTAAACAACTAGGGTTGGGTGTTTGTATGTGGTCATATATATGTAGAAGCGTAAACATCTCCCTCTTCATTAGAAACGCCGTCAAGAGAAGAATAGAGAGAGAGAGAGACAGAGATAGACAGAGAGAGAGAGAAAAGAGAATTATGGCAAAGGCAACGTGATCAACACCGGAGCTTCACGTAGTCATCGTCGTTCACTTCCCCCACCGGAGCCGAGATCCATCGCACTAGTTTGTTTGGGTAAGAAAATCCTGACATAATTGTGTCTTCTTCTTCTACAAACCCTTGTTTTGATATGTTGGATCCTTATATTAAATCTGAGTTTTATTATGAAGAAGAAGAGAAAACTGTGGCAAGTAAGGGTTTTGTGGATTGATTTCCCGTTGAAGCTAAAAGAGTTATATTGATATATTGACCTCTCTGAATCGATCTCGTTGCAAGGAAGCCATAGCAATTGACGGTTTGTCAAACGGAGTTATATTCCATTCAGCATTTGTCTTGTAAGTTGATGAAAAGTCACTTGTTCTGAATTCTGGAAAACCTAAGTTATTTCAGATAAAATTTCAGATTCAAGTTGGGGTTTTGTAAGGCTCATATCTGTCAAAGCAAAGAGAATCAGTTGACGTTTAAGGTGTCTCTGGAAAGCTCATATTGTCAAGAATGCACAACATGTGACGAAGATTAAATAGAGGTTATATTCAAGAAGTTATGAATGTTTCTTTCTGGCAAAGTAATTGCAGAAACTGTCCAAATCTGTGCCAAGTATGAACCAGAAAACAGTTCCGAGATGGGTGATTGATGGCAACGTTTGGAGGTCGAAATAATGTCTGATCGGGACGAAATTTGGTGGAGAGCTTTATGGTACTACTGGATAGATAATCAACGGTGGGATTGCGTTTACAACGGTTAGTTCTTGACTTATGCATATGTTTCCGAGACATATTTGTGTGAAGTAAATTGTGACGAGTTTGTGTTGTTGGTTGGGTAAACGAGCTCGGTTTGAGCTGAAGCTTTGTAGGAGCTTTCATGACTCTTGGAGTAAGGTCTTGGTTGTTGTAGAACTAAGGAACATGTGGTTGCAGTTAAGACATTAAGTTTGTCTAAAGGAGAAAGGAGTCGAGAAATGTTATTCATCTTCAACTAGGCTAATGTGAGGGTGGTATTTGCGAAGCATAGTATCATTTTCTTTTGTTATGCTTCTTGACGCATGATATGTAGGCTTAGATCTGATTGTATATGATAAGATTTTGTGATGATATGTGACTTGATGATTTAGGGTTTATATTTTCATGGTGTTATTTGAGATTTAGGGTTTATATTTTCATTATGCAGACATGGTTTTCTTTTAAAGTTCTTTAGTTGTTTCAGGAGATTCGAAGTTGCCTAAGACAAGTTATTTTTATGGATTTAATAAGAATTGTTCTTGAATAAGGTGAATGCGAATGTGGTTATGGTTAGAAAGATGAATATGGAATAAGGTCTTAAAGGAAAAGTGGCACGCCATCTCGGTAGTATGGGAGAGGGGTGTCACAGAACAACTAAAACTAAAAGAAATAAAAATTACTTGAAAATCTTTAACAACGCAAACTTCTTGAAGCCTTAGCTACACCAAATTGGCAGGCTTGAATTGTCTTCTCATTTCGCATAGACTCAAACTGAGGAACCGAAAAGATTCCAGTCATTGACTTTGAAGGTAGAGAGTGATTATTTAATGACATCACACATTGGCATTATTCCAGATTGAGAAGCTGGGACAACTAAACCAGATCCCACAGCATCCACGCTTTCGCTCAGAGGGCTGCACAATAATACGCAAACACATGAGACAAAAGTAGACATGTGAAACAGCAACAATCTTTTAATATTCCAGTTCTGTAATTAAAACGATGCATATCTACTACAATATATCTACTGAGTGACTCATGGTTAAAGTGTCTAGGACTTACTTTATCAAGATAGGTTCATATGCAGTCACTAAGACATCAGTATCAATCCCCTTAAGACGAAGATTTGCCACATACACCTGAAGAAGAAAGAACCATATAAGACCAGTTGTGTCTCAAGAAACAAACTTATGGAAAAATTGGACAGAACAAGGAAAAGCTTAATTACCCTCACTAGGTTTTGTGCTTCTCTTCCCTGTCTTCCTTTGGATATAGCCTGTAATGATCTTGTTGTTAGGGAAAACAAATAGAAAGGAAACTTGTGGGAAAACAAACCGAAAACATCATGTTTATGGACATTACCATCTCTCCAATAGCAGTTGTCCCAATGGCAGGGATGTTTCTGAAGGACAGTCCAGGCGCCTCAATGACCTCTGATTGCTCTATCAACTGAAATAACACAGTAAGATTATCTTAATAAATATCAATCTCGGTAACTGACAAACAAAAACTGCACTAGTTCTATTTGGGCTAGTTTCAGAAACTGAATCAACAATAACAAAATCCCTCCAACTAGTTATACAATTTCATAAAAAAAGCCTCACTATTGTAATCTCAGACAAAAAGGTTACAACGTTGAGAAATCTATACATGTTAAGATTTGATTAATTTGTACTCAAGAAACTAGATCTACTCTAGGGAAATAACACTAGTTCCTAAAGTTGGTTTGTCTACCATAAGAAGAGTTCTAGTGTTAGTGTGTTACCAGAAATCCTTCAGCATCTTGCTCACGCGCAAGATCATTAAGGAACCAAGAAGCACTGCCAATGTCACCAACCTCAGTCTTGAAATCCAACAACTCAAAAATCAAACTCTCATCTCTTGAAGGATCCACAAACACTTCCTATGAAAACCAACAATCAAACAAATACAGAGTAAACTAGAGATTCTTCTTCTACACATGTTAATTAGAAAGAATGCCAAATCCTTGACTGAGAATAGAGCCAAACCTGATGATCTGAAACTTGTCGGATATTACTCACATCCTGAAAATTCACAATAAAGAAGAAATCAGGAAACCAACAAATTTCAATTAGCAGCGAAAAGAAAAAAAGAAAAGGGTTATTGATAGAACCTGAAATCTTTGAGGGAAGAAGGTGGAAATAGCGCCACCAAACAAAGGCCTCACCGAACACAACTCACCGGACATGTTTTGCTACATTCAAAAACATAATCCTCAAAAAACTAAACTTTGCCAAAAAAGACTACAACCAACAAAAAATGCACTCACAAACAAAACAGAATCAATTAGGGATAAAAGAGAAGAGAGAAGAGTACCAATGTATCTGGGAAGTAAAAGAGAAACAAGTTGCAGAGAAATCAAAAAAGTTGGAGTTGAGTATTTATAATCGAAAGAAGCGTTGCTTTGACGTGCGAACAAGAAGCTTATTTAACGCAACAAGAAACAAAAATCTGCCAAAGAAGGACATAGAGAGAGTTATCAGTCTTTCACACATTCCAACTTTAAGTTAATAAACAAATATGAGTCTTTAGAGCTAAAAGTAGTACCATGGCCTAATGTTCAAAGACTGAAACTTTCAATCATAACTCCCACTCAAACGTATCTAAAACCATGCCTATAGAAAGAAATTAGAAACTTTTTTCTAGTTTATTTAATCTAGAACCGAACAACATCAGGTGAAATTGAGAAAAATGGCAAAAATTTCCCAAGGCTTTCTAATATCTATTACATTGTTCTGGTTCCTGTTTTCTCATCTTCTATATGAACAAAAAGAAAAAATGAACATTGAAATCGAGAGAAGAAACGTACCCGATAGAAAGATTAGCCGATAGCAAAAACAAAGACGAAGAGATTCGAAGAACAAAAAAAGATTGAAGTCGGAGCTTGAGGAGCGTGAGGAAGAAGGAGAAGCGATTGTTTCAGGTTTTGTATCATACGACGTCGTTTCTGAAACTCAATATTAGGCCCAACTTTGTTTTCTAAAACGGGCTTCGATGGGCCGGATAAGCCCAATTTAATAGATTATTATTTTTCTCTCTAATTTTATGTTTTTAATTTATTGTCTTTCTTCTTAAACCAGTTACCGATCGCGGGTCCGAGTTCCAAAACATGTTGGATGCGAACATCTTTAAGATCCGATAAAAAAAAAAAAAAAAAAAAAAAAAAAAAAAAAGTCTTGTTCGAGAGATCTGAAGGAAGAAGAAGAAGGGGGAAGCAGATAACATGTCTGCGATTGTTTGCGGGAAGAGATCTCTGTTTGAGGACTTAGCCGCCGCTTCTCCTCCCGTCTCCAAGAAACTCCGTTGCTTTTCTTCGTCTTCTCCGGCTCGTTTTTCTCATCCGATTCCGCCTTCGTCTTCGCTTCTTCTCGATCACCTCGCCGCGATTTTCCCCGATATGGATAAGAAGGTTCTTCATTTCCAGATCTCCAGCCTTTTTTATCCGATTTGTTTTTTTAGTTGATCGGATGATTTTGTTGATTGATTGTTATTTGGACCAATTCAAGGAACCTCTGTCTTTGATTAGGTTTTTCGAATTGAAAATTATCAGAAAAATTATGCTTATGAGATTGTTATTTTGCTTTATGATTGGAATCGATCGGATGCTTTTGTTAATTTATTGTCGAGTTACTTGATTCGTTAATGTTTCTGATTAAGTTTCTCTCGAATATTGAAATGAAAGTATGCAATTGTGTATATCAGTAATGAGCATATAAAATACATGTTTCATGGTTATTGGTAGTAAAATTCTTAAAATTTTCGTGTGGGTGTGTTAGAATCTTGATTCTGATTACCTTTATTGCCAAACTTGATTGGATAATTTCGTTGAATTATTGGCAGTTCGATCAATTAAAGTAACCAAAATATTTCTGATTAGGCTTCTTTATATCTATGGATGTCTGTGATGGTATATTGGTTATAAAATCGTTGACGTTTGTGTGTGTTGTAGATTCTTGAGAGGGCAATCGAGGAATGTGGTGATGATCTTGATTCAGCCATTAGATGTTTGAATCAGCTTCGTTTAGAATCTGCCAATAAGAATTCAGATTCTGCTATAAACCAATCTCCTGTTGTAATCCAGGAAGCAAATGTTGAACCTCAGCAGCAAGGTAGTTTTGCAGTTCCGTGTCCTACCCTCTTACTTATCTTGTATCAATCAGAAAACTCTTAAGTCTGGTATTTTTTGTTAGAATCTTCGCTTTCTACCCTTAACTTGTATACATATTTCATAATCTTTACTAGTTTCAGGGTATTCTGCTTAAGTGTCAGACTCACTCTACAAATTCTTATTTATGAAACGGGTTTTGATCTTTGTAGGATCAGCCAAGGAGGAAGTCTTATCTAATGGGGAAGCAAATGTCTTGAACTTGGATGGTACAGAGTGGGTTGAGCTTTTTGTTAGGGAAATGATGAATGCTTCTGACATGAAAGACGCCAAAGCCCGTGCTGCAAGAGCATTGGAAGCTTTGGAGAAGTCAATCAATGCACGTACTGGTACTGAAGCAATGCAAAATCTCCAACAGGTGTTTCATCTATCTTTCTTTGTTTCTTCACTCTTCATTGATAGATAATACTTGTTGTTGCCGGATATGTATATCTATCTATGAACATCCGATTTGCCTTTTGGCCAGGAAAACATGATGCTGAAGCAGCAATTGGAAGCCATTGTACAGGAAAACAGTTTACTAAAACGAGCGGTAGTGACGCAGCAGAAGCGGCAGAGAGAATCAGAAGACCAAAGTCAGGAATTGCAGCATTTGAGGCAGCTAGTCACTCAATACCAGGAACAGTTGAGAACTTTAGAGGTCTGTATTAACTGTCTTGACCCTAGCTTATACTATTTTTGTTGATGTGATTAGATCTGAATATTGTATTGATTGCTCTTTGCAGGTGAACAACTATGCTCTGACGCTTCATCTGAAACAAGCTCAGCAAAACAGTTCCATCCCGGGCCGGTACCATCCAGACGTCTTCTAATACTTTGTGAGATCCTCTCGTATATCTCAGTGTGTTTCCAATGTATTTTTCTCTGTTGGTTTGTGACTATTATATACGAAGTCTGGAATCATTGATGAATGACGATAGTTGGGGAACAACAGTGTCTCCACAGTCAAAACTGTGTTTTTTTGTTGTTGTTGTTGTATATATTGTCTTTCGAGTTCGTTGATGGATTCCACATATATAAGCTTTATTGCAATCAGTTAACAAACAGCGAACAGAGTTTGTTATTTGCTTGAAACTCATGCGTTGTTGATCAGAAAAATCCTTGCTTCTGCTAAAAGTATTTTTTAATGTCAAAGAATGACAAAGAGTATAAATAAAAGAAATCATTATAGGGCCTGTTCTTTTACTTGTCGACGGAGCACAACGATTGTGACTGCAACAACGATGGTGGAGTTGTTAGGTGTCGCTGAAGAAAGAAGCGACAGATCATGTTGTGGTCTCGCGGTGACAGCGACCTAAGAACAGACCCATAGATTCTTGAGTTTTATAAGAAAACAATCCCAGCCATTCTCGAAGCAAAACTTTTTCCGACCATTAAATATTCCAAAATTTTATCCATATATAGAGAAGGAAGCGTTAATTTCATCTGTCCCGATTTTTTGTGGTTACCTGCAACCTCGTTGGAATTAGTAGGTGCATTTAGGAATCCCCACAGTTTAAACTATGCCTGCAATATTTACAAAACCTGAAATTTGAACCCAACCGGTCTTTGTTTATTTCGGCTCATAGTCGGTTATTCTAGGTGATCCGATTGGCACAGATGTTTTAGATGGCTCAGGCCTAGTTCAAGGACCATATATAGGCGAAATTTAGGTTATGTTTTTTTTGTAACTTTCGTTTAAAGCCATGTATTGTGCGTACTTTACTACTCTATTGACCAAAAATCTATACTAGTATTTTTGAAGTACATTTTTAACGGATAGGACAAAATCCATTTGGATATAATGGATATTCGATCCATTTACAAATTTTGGTCATGAAATTTTTTTTTGGTCAGGTTATATTTAACCCAACTCATATACCGGATATATATTTCATATTTTATAAGGAAAATACACTACAAGAAAAATCCACATTCTTATCACGAGAGAAACGCTATGTTTTGTCATTAATAGCGTTTTCATAAACGCTATTTTATGCCCCTGTTATCGTAAGTACCTCACATAAGATAGCGTTAGATACATATGCTATGTTAAAGACTTCTATTATAGCAGTAGGGAAACGCTGTGTGTTCAAGCGTATTTATTTGTTTGAAATTTTGCAATTACTCATTATCCATGCTATGATAGGGGTCTCTACTATAGCTATATTAAAACGGTTTAGTTTATGTTTTTATAAGAAATATTTATGTTATGAGATATTATCTTATAGCGTTTATATATAAGAAAAAAAATTAGTAATTACTCATATATTGCGCTACAGTAGATGACTCTAACATAGCATTTTTTAAATCTTACATTTTAAAAACCAATATATTTCGTAGCAGGTTTTTAAATGCTATTATATTTGTTTTCATGTCACTGATTTCTTTTTTTTATGACACACCTGTTTTAAAATCCCCAAATACATCATTAATAACTTCAAATCCAAGATACAATTCACAAGACATGTTTCACATAACAAGCTAACAAGTTTTCCAAAGATCCTGTCAATGATCTCCTTAAGATCCAAAACCAACCAACTAAAAATCTGAAAACAAGTGTTCCAAAGAAGTTTCACAAACCAAACCTCCATGATCACTTTGTCCTCAGGCCATGCAATAATTGTCCCAAGGGCATCTTCCATAATCTCTATTTCATCTGATTTCCTCCAAACTTCTGCATCTTCACTCTTCACCTTCTATAAACTGATGCAAATAAAGGGTACTTGTCATTCATCTTTTCCCATGTAACAGAATCTACAGGATGGCGAAGTTTGCCATCACTGCTCTTGTTACTGAAATGCCATCTTAAGTCCTTTGCCATTTCCTCTGTCCTGAACATTCTCTTCAGCCGCGGTATTATTGGAAAGTACCGTAATACTTTCTGTGGTACACCTTTCTTGACTTCACCAGTGTGCATATTAATCTTCCACCTTGAAGCATTGCATTTGGGACAATTTTCCAGCTTCTTGTACTTCTTTCTGAAAAGACAGCAGTCATTTACACACGCATGAATCTTCTCATATCCCATATCAAAGCTCTTCAAAAATTTCTTCACATCATACAAGGATGTGTGAAGCACATTATCCTTGGGCAACATTTTTGGTAGTGTCTCAAGAAGCTCATCAAAGCTCTTGTCAGACCATCCATTCTTGGTCTTAATCCTTAAGAGAGACACAATAGCCGACAGCTTGCTGTGGTTTAAACAATCAGGATATAAAGGGGTTTCTGCATCTGCTAGCTTAGCTAGAACTCATCTTCTCTCTTGTCCTCACCCTCTGCAATCTCACTTAAGTCAGCCACTGGAATGTCACCTAGCTCACCATTACTAGCCAACTCTTGGTCATAGTATTCAGCAGCTTTGTATAACTCAAGAATTTCCTCATTCCAAAGATTTACTTCCCTCTCACATTCTCCATCAGCAACTGTGTCTCCATGATGGTACCAATCACTTCGCAGCTTGTAAGCCTCATCCATCCCTCTTGTTACAAGATGAACCACCACATCACTACTTGAGTGGCGGTATACATTACGACAGTCTTTGCAAGGACATATTATCTTATCTATATCTCCTAAAGCCGCAGCCACATCAAATACAAATCTCCGAGCACCTCTCTCATAACCAGGATCAGCTCTTCAATGAAGAAGTAAAGTAGGAAAAAAAAATCTTAAAGTTTCTAAACCCCATTTTAAAGCAAACCTATGTATATAATTTTATTCCTTACCTGCATAGATGCACCCATGCCTTGTCCAACATTATATGTTATAAGCTTAAATAAAACCTTATTAACACAAATTGAAACCATAATCAACAATAGTCACAGAGAAAAATCACATGATAAGAGAACTTATCATGATCAGACAACTTATCATGAAGACACAACTTAAACTGAACACAATGCTAAAGACATACTAAGCATTAAGCAACTTACACTATCTCAGAAAGAAACAAATTAACAAAACAAGAACAGTGACAACAACCTTAACAAATTGACAACAGTCACAGCAACTTCAACAAAACCACAATAGTCACAGCAAATTTATCAAAACCAAAACATTCATACCATTTACAATCAAAGAATCACAGCCACATTCAAGGACTAACCTGTCGTATTAGTACAACAAAGGCAAAGCTTCAGTTCCCCAACATTTCAATCACTAACACTTGCCAAAAAATGCGGAATCAAAAAATCAATAAGTATAAGCTTAAATAAAAAATCTACTAACAAATCGATTAGGAGAAATCTAAATCGCAAAACCAAGATCTTTGTGAAGAGAATGTGGATAAAAATGATTAACAGACATCAAAATCGCAGAAGTTTTCGCTTTACCCTAATTTCAAACTAATAGAAGAACCCTAATTTCAAAATGACATAAAAAAATCCGATTTTCTGTACCAATCTACTGAACTAGGTTGAAATTAGAGACAATCTTGACCAAAAAATCAATAGAAATGGAAGTTATAGAAACGAAGAAAGACATGCATGCCTCGATTTTAGCTAGCTGACGGCCGCTGCGAAGGAGAATGTGGCTACGGAGGAGTACAAATCCGACCTTAATACGCCGCAGAGGATAGAGTATTTGAGAGTTGAGCTAAATCTGAGATTACTCTGAGTTTTGTCGGAAAAAATTTCGAGAGAAAGGGTTTTGTTTTTGGTTAAGTGTTTTGACTGAAGAGGGAAATGAATTAGATCTGAGGCGCTAAAGGGTTTTTTTTTTGCTAAGTGTTGGCGGATTAAGTCATTTTAGATTCCCGCTCATTAAATTTCTATCATAGCGTTTACACACCGCTATTATAAAGAAACCCAAAAAAAATAAACTCTACCATAGCAGTAACAGAAAAAACGCTATACTCGTGTGCTATCAATGCTGATATTTGTTGTAGTGATACTTGGGTTCACCCTTATATTCACTCCCTTTATTTCAGCCAATCAGAATCTGCCATCTAATAATAATAATAAACATTTAATTTAATTATAAAATCTAATTTGCCACTAGAAACAAAATTATGTATCGGTTTAGGTTTATTAGAAAGGATCAAGGTTTAGATTTTATGATTAAACGAGGTTAAATATCGGTATGGGTTTATAAACGGATTTAGATTTTACAACTAAACGAGGTTAAATGTCGGTTTGGGTTTCGAAAGTACGATTACGGTTTAGATTTTATGATTAAACAAGGTTAAATATCGGTTTAGGTTTATAAACGGATTTAGATTTTACAGTTAAACGAGGTTAAATATCGGTTTGGGTTTAGAAAGTATGATTAGGGTTTATATTTTACAATTAAACGAGGTTAAATGTCGGTATAGATTTAGAAAGTACGATTAGGGTTTAGATTTTATGATTAAACGAGATTAAATATCGGTTTGGGTTTACAAAAGAGTGGTTAGGGATTAGATTTATTAATAAAATCAGTTTAATTTTTTTATTATGTGGCAAATTCTGATTGGTTATAATAAAAAGGGGTGAATAAAAGAATTCACCCTTATGAGTGAACCCAAGTATTGCTCATTTAATAATTTAGATATTTAGAAGATTTGATTAAGATTTAGAATTATGATTCTTCCAGTGTTTTTAAACTCGATCCGGACGGTGAACCGGACTACCTTCTGTGTCACCTGGTCACTAGGTCCACCGGGTTGGATCACGGGTCAATTGATTAAAATTTATTTAATATATTTAATAGATTTTATAGTTATATAGATATAAAAATAAAAATAATCATACTATATTTACAAAATATGAAATTTAAAATGGACAATCGTTCCCGAAAAACCTCTCTTCTCTCTCCTTACTGTAGCAAGTTTTTAGATCTAGATCTGCTTTTTTTTCCGGTGGCCTTTGATCTTCATCTCTTCGGTCTTACTTTGAAAAAACAGGGGTGAACAAGATCCCTTCTCCGTCGGCAGCGGTGAGGTGTTCTCCCCTTCGATGTGGTTACGGCTCCGCCGTGTCGGAAGTAGAGATTCGCTGCGGTCGCCTTCGGTTGAGGACACCGTTAACCTCCTGGCTCAGCCGTCGTCTCGGTCTCTGCAACTACGGTGGAAGTCGATGGGGAGAAGGTGGGTAGTGCTGAATCGCCATGGAGGTTAACGGTGGATCGTCGTGGATCTTGTTGGCCGTCGCGGATTCAATGTGTTTGGGTTTTCGATTGAGCCATCGGCCTCAAACACCACCGCGATCTGCTTCCTCCTGGCCGGATTGAAGGTTTTTGGTTCGGAGAATCAGAGAATCGCCGGAATTGGGAAGGAGGGGTTATGTCTGAGTTTGTCGGCTTGCTAGGTACGGGAGCTGACAACGGCGGGCCGTGACGTCGGAGGGTTGACCATACCGAGAGATCTGTGGCGGGAACGGTTGGTCGAGGGAAAAGGAACGGAATCGAGAGTCGGATGCTTCCTCTATGTTTACTAGATACTTCGATCCGTCGCAAAGCTATGGTTCTCGCATCCGCCGATGCTAATGGTCGGACTCTCTGCACCACGGTGTCACAAGGGCAGGATCCTCTTTTCAGACACCGACAATATTTTCCGATTTGCCTTTGTCTCTGTTTTTCACTGTAATCCGAGGCCCAACCCAATTTAGTGGGTAACCTATATTAATAAAAGGCCCGTTTCAAAAAAATAAAGAAAATATGAAGTCTAACAATAAGAATAAAGTGATTCAAATTAAATTTTTAAATCCAACTAAAAGTCTAAAACCGTAACAAATATTAAAATAGTAGAAGATCGCCAATGACGGGAATAAACTAGTAAAACATCACAAATTCAAACAACTAATATTAGACATATCAAAACCGTAACAAATATTAAAATAGTAGAAGATCGCCAATGACCGAAATAAACTAATAAAACATCACGAATTCAAACAACTAGTCTCGGTTATTTCTCTCACAATTCCATTCATTCTCTTTAGACGGCACTGTGAAGTTTCATCAAAATCTAAAACATCAAATGAGTCTAAGAATTAAAAAAAAAATCTAAAACTAACTACACAGGGTCTAAAAAACTATATTTTATTTCAAAATCAAATAATTTTTCTAAAACCCATACCCAGCCGATTCAACAGGTTCATTGGGTCGCGAGTTAGTGGCGGGTTTTTGTGGGTTTTTCCGGTTTTGAAATTAGCGGGTTTTAGCATTAAACCCAAACCGGAAAAGTGTCCGGGTCGCGGGTTAACCGGTCGAACAGGACGGTCCGGGTCGAGCATGAAAACACGGGATTCTTCTATCATCTTTGTTTGATTTGTTTTTAACTGTTTTGAATCATCATATAATACATAGAGTAAAAAAATTAAATTTTTTTTTTCTGCATAGACAGTATTCGAAATTTTAAGAACGGACATATATTATCCAATTGACGAAAAATATCTGTTCAACGTTCCAGAAATAAATAAGATCGACATTAATAAAATAAATGGGTCTTTGGCGGGACAGGTTTTTGAATCAACAATAATAAAAAAATAAATATCATTAATCCGTCTCTTCAATATGGATTAAATCGTTAATTTTGTTTTATACCACCAATATTAGACATATCAAATAAGTCTCATTTAGAAAAGATTGTATAAAACCAAAAATTGTCTCGTGGTATAATGTTACTTAATAACAATTATAAACTATAAAATATAAATGTCTTAGAGAATGATATAATTTGCAAACTTGTATATTTAATTAATAATAGTTAAATTTTTAAATTTACTACTTTTAGAAAACAAATCACGGGATAGGTTAAGAAATTACAGGACGGGTTCTATTTCGGAACGGGGTTATATGGTGGACGAGTTTGAATCAATATTTATAAAATTTTAAAATATCATTAACATGCCGCTTTAATATAGATTAAATCTTCAGTTTATTAAAATATAATTGTCTTAGAGAATGATACAATTTGTTAACTTTTATATATAATAAATAATAATAAAATTTTAAAATCACTAATTTTAGAAAACAAATCATGGGAGAGATTAAGAAATTATGGGACGGGTTATATTTCGGAACGGATATATATGGCGGATGAGTTTGAATCAATATTTATAAAATTTTAATATATCATTAACATGTGCTTTAATACGGGTTAAATCCTCAGTTTATTAACAACTAGAATAGGACCCGTCCGATGAACGGGTTTAAATGTTTTTAATTAAAATGAAATTTAACAAAATAAATTAGATTGAATATTTGGTTGTAAGTAGTAATTATCTTTAAAATATATAGAATTTTTTAGTTGGAGAAAAAATTATTTATATATTCGGTCTTTAGTCTTAATAAACCATTTGCATTTATATATTTTAAATTTATTGTAATGTTTAAACATTACAATAATCCAGTAAAATTAAATTATCAATCACCAAAATGTTTTCCAAAATTTTATAATTATTATTATTTCCAAATTTCGAAAACCGTAGTTTTATGATCTCGCCTAAAATAATTCAACAACGTTTAGATGCAAACCACTGGTTAAACCATCATCTTATTCACATCTATTACCAAATTTACTATTTATTTTACTACTAAAAAGTGTTTTTACATCCATGTATTTTTTAATGTGTTTTTAGAGCCAAAATATATGTCTCTTTACTTTCACTTTTGCATTGTTTCTTTAACTACTAAAATTGTTGACTCAAAAATATATTTTAAGATTAATAATTTGCTATATTATCTTCATTTTATATACATTTTAAAAAGGTTCTTTTACTTTTAGGATTTGTTATTTATTGTATAATTTTTTTATAAAAAATTTTTTGTTTTACACGTGTCAAAATCTTAGATCGATAAAGTTATCACGTGTCACAATCATATGAGTTACTACCTTTGAAAACTAAGCTTTATATAAATAAGAAAAAATATACGTATAGTTTCCTTAAAATTTTTTTTTCAAATTTCTAGTTTTATTTAATAAGATACATATAGTTTTCTTATAATTATCCTTTTTAGATTTTTCAGAATTTCATATATAAGATATATATGTATACTTTCCTTATAATTTTTTTTTAAATAAATAAAAGGAAATTTTTTTTTATACGTGTTAAAAATCTGAAATCTATAAATTTGACACATACGTATTGTTTCTTTATATCAATATTTTTTTAATAAATAAAAGATTTTTTTTTTATTTACACATGTCAACATTTTATTAATAAATTTGACATGTGTCACGATCATATGAGTTACTAACTTTGAAAACCATACTTTATATAATAAAATTGTCCCGTTGATTCGTGGTATACTGTTACTTAATAACAATTGTAAACTATAAAATATAAATATTTCATAAAAAAATACAATTTACAAAATTTTATATATACTAACTTTAAAAAATAACTCATCCCGCAGTATACCACGGATTAAAATTTAGCATTATATATTATAGGATATTTTATGATATAAGTTACATATAGAAGAAATAAAAGCCTAAAGAGAAGGTCAAAACAGGAAACTTAAACTAAAAAAAAAAAGAAAATACACATTTAGGCAGAGATAATATTAGCTTAGCTGGCCAACAGTGACGTCTGGGCTGTTCAAAATCTTTCTTCTCTCTTGGTCAAGAAATTATTCTCTCGCAGTCGTCAAGAGCTAGCTTCCTTCTACAACAATGCAGGTGAATGATTATTACTATGATTTTTCCACTCTAATTTTCAATGCTTTAACGATTCTTGAGCTGCAAAGTTTCTTCTAACTAATTTTGTTTTCTTCGAATTCGATATAGACGACGAGAAGTGTTCAAGTAAATAATGTCTCAGATCTAGCCACGGAGAGGGAGATTCACGAGTTTTTCTCCTTCTCAGGCGATATAGAACACATTGAAATCCAAAAGTAACTCTACTTTTTCTTCTATGCTCGTTTCAAGTTTTCTTCTATGTTTCATTTTCACCTTTAATTTGTTCGGAATTTTAGGTGCAGAGAAGTTGGCCAGTCTCGAATCGCATTTGTTACATTTACTGACCCCAAAGCCCTTGAAATTGCCTTGTTATTATCGGTATGTAATTTTGTTTTCTCTATTTCACCGACACTTTTTATGCATTAATTAATTTTTGTGTGTTTATTTGGTAAGCTACAAGTTTAAGGGACGTCTGCATTTTTTGATACTACTAACATGTAATTGAGTTATCGAGCTGGTTTAAGTTTCGGTTCAGTGTATGTGTATGTGCATTTCTGCTTAGCATTGGTTTTACAGAGTTTTGTTTATAGTCTTTGTAACAAACACCTAACCTAGTTATGAGACTGTTTGCGTAAAACTCTAAGCGTATATTTTGATAACAGTAACGCGGATGGAAATCTTGTAATCGACATCTTGTCTTGCAGGGTGCGACGATTGTGGACCAGATTGTTACAATAACTCGAGCTGAAAACCATGTTCAGAGGCGTGAGATGCAGGTTGTGTGCTATTTCGAATCAACTTTTTCTTCAAGTCGGCTCTGTTTGATGTCTTAGTTTCTGTCATGCAGGAAGTAAGAATGGTGGACAACGCGATGCCCCTTGGTCTTCCAGAGAGTACTACACAGGTTAGGAGAAAATATTTTGGTGATTTTCGTGCAGAAACTTATCGATGGTTTCACTGTTAAGTACTGATCTTCAAACATTCAGTCAATTTTTATAGTGGTTTTGTGCCTTCTTTGTCTATTCATAATTTCATCAAGTTTAATGTGTTTTTTCACCCTTTGATTGGGAAGAACAACTGGTCATTTATGTTGAAACAAGTTTTAAAATTGATAAATTTTCAAGTTCCATTTCTTTTGTCCTGTGATAGCTCTCTCATTTTATTGTAAAACTATAGCAGGAAGTTGAAGAAAACTAGGTTGTGTGATATAGTCTTAAACATGTTCCGTTGTACAATAATAATGCAAAATAAACTCGATTTGCAGACCAAAACTACCGTGGATGGCAATAGTAGAGCATATGTTAGCAAAGCACAAGATGTGGTGGCAACTGTTTTGGCAAAAGGTTCTGCTCTTGGACAAGATGCAGTGAATAAAGCCAAGGCTTTCGACGAAAAGCATCAATTAAGAGCCAATGCTTCTGCCAAAGTTTCATCTTTTGACAAGCGAGTTGGGCTTACTGAGAAGTTAACTGTTGGTATTTCTGCCGTTAACGAGAAAGTAAAATCTGTTGATCAAAAGCTTCAGGTCTCCGATAAAACCATGGCAGCAATATTTGCAGCCGAGAAGAAATTAAACGACACTGGTTCAGCTGTCAAATCAAGCAGGTATAGAATTTCTTGTCTTCTGAATCTTTGGTGGAATATAAATCCATAGACGTCCTTCTTGATAATAGATATGACAGGAATCAACATTGTCCATCTCTAACTACTTTTCTTTCAAAAAATTCTGTCCTGACTTCATGAATTGGTCATTGTCCTCACTCTGTTTTGTTTCTTTGTTTCTGATTATGCTTCCAATTAGGTACGTGACTGCTGGAGCTGCTTGGTTTAGTGGTGCTTTTAGTAAAGTGGCGAGAGTAGGTCAGGTTGCTGGCTCAAAAACCAAAGAGAAGTTCAATCTAGCCGTCTCAAATATGAGTTCCAAGGTGAGTCATCAAACCAGTCCACGTTTTATGGTTGTCAGGACCCAACATTTGTTTTGATAGGCGGCTAGAACCTGTTATTTATTTAACCAAAACTGACTTAGTGCTAGAACTTGTAATAGTTTTGAGTTTTAGTGATTGTTAATGATAATTATAATTTGATGTAATTACCTACTCCTTTATGGCACCACAAGAAAACTGATTTGACTGGCTTCCGCAGGATACACCGATTGCTGTATAATAAAGAGCTTGGAATCTAGTAAGCGTTGAAGTCAGGATCAACGAAAGTTGCTATGCTGGCCTTGTAAACAAAATTTTTGTGATATAGCGTATTCTCATTCTTTTAGTGTTCTTTCATATTCTGCGTGTGCTACATTGTCCTCAAATTTACTTGATGTTTCTCGTAAGTACAAGTGTTTCCTTTTTGGATTTCCCAGTTTCCTACTTAAGGCCTGGCCTTTTATTGTATCGTGTTGCATTGAAGGACACTATAACTGCATTGAAGGTTGACGATTTACACTTGGTTCCACTCGATAATAGTTTTCCTTACTATATAGCTTATAATTTGATACTCAAGACTTGTTGATAGTACATAGTGACAGAATATCATTTTGTTTGTCTACAAGAAAGTTACACAAAAGGTGAACATATGATGTACAACATCACTACAATAAACCAGTTACACAAAACTATAATTTAGTTTCAAACAGCAATATTTTATATGCAGCCTTATAAGGCCCTTCTAAATCCTGTCCTGATACATTTGCATCAACCCATTATTTTCACTTCTTGTCCCATGCTACTCCGTCTTGGACCAACTGAGTTGTCGAAAGATGCTGAAGAAAACAATAACACAGAGCAACTCTAAAGTACTTGACTACAAGTCTGGAACTGGAACAAAAATGGTCATAGTTAACATCACAAACCTGTTTTGCTTTGGTGAATATCATCCCATAAAGATGTCATGAGCAGCACAGGGGATGTTCTGTTTCTGACCAGGTTGAATAAGAAGGTACATCCAGCGTTTTGACCATTCGCTTCGCAGAAACTTTTCCAGCCGTGTGTGATCCTAAACTTACCGGAGGACTTACTGTATTTTAAACTTAACGTCCATGTTCTTCCCTGTTTGTTCATCAAACTTATCTCGTGAAATTTTTTGTCCAGTATGTTTGATCTTGAAAGCCTTATTGGAAGATACTGCAACAACAAATAATCAGACAGAAACTTCCAATTATCATTGGAATGCAAAAGCCATTATATAAGAATAGGATAAAAGTGAAGTGCTAACCAGTATATCTTCCCTTAGATTAGAAACTGTGACAGATACCACAAAGCTAGAATTATCTGACAAAGACAATGATTCCACGTTCTTCTCTTCTTTCGCAGACTCATGTTCTACTTCTTGCTTGATCTCCTTCGAGTTCTTTCCTAGATAGAAAAGGATTCCTCCTAAACATTGCATTCCTTACTATACATATAAAAGCAAGAGAGTGTTGAACTTACCAATGCTGCTCTCATCCTTCTCCAAAGGAAAAATCCGGAGCACTGGTGTTTTTCCATTTCGGACCAATATGAGCCTCAAGAAACAACCAGTTTTATGCCCATTCCTGCAGCAGAAACCTCTCCAGCCTCTCCTGACAGTAAACCGATTATCTGATTTATCGTAGCTCAAGTCTAGTATTAGATGACATACCTTTTTCATCCATAAAAATAATCTTCTTGCACAGTTTGCTCAGACCACTTGAGGTAGTAAAACCTTTTGGAAGATGCTGCAAAGGTAATGTCCCAAGTTGATGACATTCATGAGTATGCTACTAAAAAAATTCAGATAAATAGGAGTTATAAAAGTTAAGGACTTCTTACAAATGAATCATTTCGTTGGTTTGAAGCTGTGCCAGGGACCACAAAGATTGTGTCGTGTGATGAAGAACACACTTTTTGTGGATCTTTCTTCAGTAATCCATCTCTTTTAAGCTTTCCTGATTCCACATTCGTCTCTTCTTTCACAGTCTCATGTTCTACTTCTTGCTTAATCTTCTTCGAGTGGTTTCCTGGTTAGAAAAGGTTCCCTCATAAGCATTTCATTCCTAACTACATATAAAAGCAAGAGAGTGCTGAACTTACCAATGTTGTCCTCATCTCTCTCCAAAGGATAAATCCGGAGCACGGGTGGTTTTCCTTTTCGGGCCAATATGGGTCTCAAGAAACAACCAGTTTTAAAACCATTCCTGCAGCAGAAAGCTCTCCAACCTCAGCTGACACAAAACCGATTACTTGATTTATGGTAACACAGTTTTAGCGTCGATGGCCTGCTTTTTTCATCCATTAGAATTATCTCATTGCACAGTTTACTCAAACCACTTGAGGTGGTAAAACCTCTTGGAAGATACTGCAAAGAAAATATCCCAAGTTGATAGCAATATTAATTTCATTCCACAAATTCAATTCTAAACAAGGTATAGAATGAAGGACTTATTACAAATGAATCAAGTCGTTGGTTTGAGGCGGTGACAGGGACCACAAAATCAGTGTCCACTGATGAACACTCATTTTTTGCCGTTTTCTTCACCGTTTTATATCGTGTAACCTTTCCTGAATCAGAAGCAGACCCACAAGTAAACATCAACAGTTTCCTCTTTTGAAAACCATAAAATCTTTAACTCGAAAGTACCGTAAAGAGCTCAACTTACCCGTCTTGTCTTTGACAACTTTCTCGTCATTCTGTGAGTAAAGTATCTCACAGCAACTCAGTCCAAAAGGTGTGACATGAAACAAGAGATTCCCTTCGTGTCTGAAAACAAGAATGTCGCCGACCTGAAGATTGTGACCCACCGCAAATTCTTCCCATCCTTTGGTCATTCTTCGGCCGTCTATCTTAATATTCCAGGTGATCTCCGACGCGTCTGATCTAAGTTCTGCAGCGTTTCCCTCTTGTCTTCCCTCTAAGTATTTCGAATAAAAAGCTTTAGGAATCAACTGCAAACAAAGAAGAACAGAGTAAAACAAAATGTAAGAAAAATAAAATCTAACAACATGCAGAGAGAAACAGAGAGGGAGATTACAATATAGGTTTTGAAGCCTGGAAGAATAGGCTTCAAGAAGTGTGGCTTGGCCGAAGAAGAGAACATTGAATTAGCCATTGATGAACCCAGCAAATGTAACCAGTAACCCTAAGTATCTTCAGATTTCAGTGAACATATATAGGGGAAACACAGCCTGTCGGGTCTTTTCGTTTTCCCAACATTGTTCTGTCTGAATTCGTCATCACATGTTTTGAAGAATAGGCTTCAAGAAGTGTGGCTTGGCCGAAGAAGAGAACATTGAATTAGCCATTGATGAACCCAGCAAATGTAACCAGTAACCCTAAGTATCTTCAGATTTCAGTGAACATATATAGGGGAAACACAGCCTGTCGGGTCTTTTCGTTTTCCCAACATTGTTCTGTCTGAATTCGTCATCACATGTTTTTATTTTATTTTTAATAATTTTTTTTTTGTGCAACTTTTTAGTAATCAAACGGGAAATCAGCTTGTCGGATGCTCTCGAGTGATCATTAGAAATTTTTCGGATTCGGATACCTTTCGGTAAAGCTGTAATAAATAGCACTAGATTGTGTACCCTCGCGTTGCGCGGATTTAATTTAAAATTTTCATTTTTTGTGTATAAATATAACCAATTGAATTTTAGAAGATTTTACTTTATTTATGTGCATTATATTTTCAAAGTAGTAAAAAGTTTCTCACATTTTTCACTAAATTTTATTTCGTTATCTTCTATGATTCACTCGTAGTCTCTTGACATTTACTCTTTTTTTCTCCATAGATCGTATCTATTTTCTCTGGAGAGATGTTTGTCATAAGGTTTCTTCGACCAATTTTTGGTGCATTTAAAATTGCTTCATAGACACCAAATCTCACATATGGACTCATTCCTATTCACAAACATAGGTTTCAGCGTGAAATTTTGCACTTTATCTCGACCATCAGAAAAATACAAAATTCTCTTTCTACATATATAATTTAACATAGATTATGATTAAAAATAGTATTCTTAATGTTGATTTTGCTAAAATGTGACACTTACGAACTCATATAAATTATTCTAATTTTAAAATTCATTTATTCAAAAAACTCTTCAATCTACCGTTACTATTCTAATTTTCAAATAGCATTCTTAGATATTATTATTACACAGTTTTATTATTCTATAAGATTATTTTAGTTTTATTTTTGATGTTTAGGATAGGTTTTTGCTTTATTTCAAATCACCTTAGTTTTTTTAATTTGTTAATTTCCTAAACACTGATTAATATTTATTTTTCTTTTTTTTAAGTATTCATTTAAAAAAGAAACAAAGAACCAGTTTTTAATTTAGAAAACATTAATAATATAGAAAAAAATTATTAATTTAACTATTTATATTATATTATAATGATAAATAATAATATGTTTTCGATCCTTCATATTTTTGAATCGGTACTCAAATTTTAAATGCCTATTTTTCAGAAATGAACTTTTTATTTTAATTAAAACCCTTTAAATTTGGTATTTTTAAACTCTTATTTTCATTACTCTACTAAATAATTGTAACACTTATAAATATTTTTTGTACCACTAAAATATATGATAAGTTTCTTTTTTTACTATCTCTAACTATTTTAAAACATTTACTCATTATATATTAAAATATAATTATCTATTCAAAATTTTCAAATTTTCAGTTGTCTATTGAATTTTTTCTTTTTTCATAATATTTAATTTAATTTTTGTCAAATATTTTTTTAGTTTAATGTGTGAATTAATTTTAATTTTATAGTTTTTTGTTTTAATAAATAAAATATGTGGAACCTACAAAAAAAGAAAATATGATGACATAGATGATGATGTGGACACCCTAGATAGAAAGAGAACTCTCTAATTATATATATAGATTTCGCATAAAACCTTTTTTTATATAGTTTATTTTTAATGTTTAAGGTTATATAATCATCCATGTAATTTGATATTTTTTGCTAAAAATAAATTTTGGAGAAGAAATTAGAACGATTCAGAATCAAAATTAAGTTCTTGTAAGTTCTGAATGAGCAAATATGCTTTCTTTATTTGAGTAGAATATTTCTAAGGGTTTCAATGGATGTTTAGGGTAGAGCGGACAAAACTATTAGCGGACTTGGCCACTATATCTTTGGAGCAGACAACAATAATCCATAGACCAAGTTCATTTCCATGTAAAAGCGGTCCGTAGTTGGTCTCCGGTAGATTTCTTCTAGTTTTCTCGATCCGTACCACTACGGATCTATACTAGTATTTTTACAGTCACTTTGGTGACGGGTGGGTAAAAATATTTCCGGTTTATTTGGATATCCGAGCCGTTTCAAAAAATCTTTCACAAAAAAATTTGTTCGGTCGGGTTATATTTAACCCAACTCATACACCGGATATTCTATATTTAATAATTTAGATATTTAAAAGATTTGATTAAGATTTATAATTATGATTCTCCTATCATCTTTGTTTGATTTGTTTTTTAAGTGTTTTAAATCATCATATAATACATAAAGTTAAAAACAAATCAATTTTTTAAATGCATATACTGTGATTCGAAATTTTAAAAATGGACATATATTATCCAATTGACACTACAAAAAAACAGTCGTTTTGCGAGGGAATTGCAAGTAATTTGCTACGAAAACGACGCGCGTCGCACTTCCGTCACACAATTTGCGAGGGAAAGTTTTCTCGCAAAATTGCGAGGGACTTACGAGTACTTTGCGAGGAACAATATACTCTATCGCAAATCTCCCGCACATACCTCGCAAATCTTTACCCTAAACCCTAAAATACATAAAAATGTTTTGCGATCTTTGATTTTTATTTATAAATATGAATCTAAGAGACCATATAATCAGACAAGTTGAATATATGGTGATGCATAAAAAAATGTTGTATAGGTTTCAATATTAACATTTTATTTTGAAAATGTTATAAACATTGATTCATATTATATAAAAACATAAGATCATCATTGATGTATTTGAGGAAAATGCACATTCGGACGAATTCAAAGTATATGATGAGAAAGTACATTCTAATGACTCAAAAAAATGAATCCGAATGATTTTTAGTAGTGTTTTGTTGTTTTTTTCAAATTGATTCTATTTTGCGAGGGTTTTGCGAGGGGTACTAGTAATTCCCTCACAAAACTAAACCCTAATTCAAGAGTTTGCGAGGGAATTGCATGGCTTTCGTAGCACTTCCCTCGCAAATCTTTACCCTAAACTCTAAAAAAATAAAATTCAAATTAAATCTTTCATTTTTCATGAGAGATTTGCTACAATTATCCATCACAACACGTTTTCAACTTTTAGTAACTTTTAGTTACATTGGTTTTCAATATATCCAAGGGTTTTGCGAGGGAATTGCGAGGGACCATAGCAATTCCCTCGCAAAAGTGGACACCACTTGCGAGGGATTTGCTATGATCCCTTGCAAATTTCTCGCAAAACTTCAAAAAAAATATGAAAATTTTTTAAGGTTTTTTATTCCAAAACGTTTTAAACATTTCCAAAACGTTTTAAACATTGCGAGAGATTTGCTATGGTGCCTTGCAATTCTCTCGCAAATATTTTCAGTTTTTTCGCGGTTCAATTTTTTGGCGGAAATTTTAAAATTTTTGGCAAATATTTCAAAACATTTGCGAGGGATTTGCTAGGTATCCCTCGCAACTCCCTTGCAAATTGTTTTCAGTTTTTCGCGCTTCAACGTTTTGGCGGAAATTTCAAAAATTTTAGCGAAAATTTTCAAAATTTTTGCTTGAGAATTGCTAGGGAATTGCGACGGTATAAATATATATATAAGTGATTGCATGTTTGAGCTATGCTCAAACATCTCTCATTTCCTCTTACTTAAAAACTCTTCTCTCACTCATTCACATCTCATTTCCTCTTACTTAAAAAGTCTTCATTCCTCATTCACATCTCTTCAAAGGTATGTTTTTTAATTTCATTGTTAGATTTATGTATAGATTTGTATTATTATAGTTTTAGATTTAGGAGTTTGCTAGTTTTAAAATTAGAAAATTAGGATGTCTAGATTTAGATTATTGTGAAAGGTATTGGATTTGTTAGTTTTGGATTTAGAAATTTAGTTTTATATTAGGATTGGAATTTTAAATTATTTTAGGTTTCATTTAGAAATTGAATTGTTAATTTTTAGAATTTTTTAGTATGGAATTTTAGATTATATATTAATAACTAATTTTCAAATTTAAATTGTTATTATTTTTAAAGATTATTAATTTTAGAAAACTTTTAAGGATTTTCTTAAATTTGACTTAAAACTTTCTTATTGTATTTTGAATATTATTATGCATTATAGAAAATAATGTCCCAAGTTGATGACATTCATGAGTATGCTACTAAAAAAATTCAGATAAATAGGAGTTATAAAAGTTAAGGACTTCTTACAAATGAATCATTTCGTTGGTTTGAAGCTGTGCCAGGGACCACAAAGATTGTGTCGTGTGATGAAGAACACACTTTTTGTGGATCTTTCTTCAGTAATCCATCTCTTTTAAGCTTTCCTGATTCCACATTCGTCTCTTCTTTCACAGTCTCATGTTCTACTTCTTGCTTAATCTTCTTCGAGTGGTTTCCTGGTTAGAAAAGGTTCCCTCATAAGCATTTCATTCCTAACTACATATAAAAGCAAGAGAGTGCTGAACTTACCAATGTTGTCCTCATCTCTCTCCAAAGGATAAATCCGGAGCACGGGTGGTTTTCCTTTTCGGGCCAATATGGGTCTCAAGAAACAACCAGTTTTAAAACCATTCCTGCAGCAGAAAGCTCTCCAACCTCAGCTGACACAAAACCGATTACTTGATTTATGGTAACACAGTTTTAGCGTCGATGGCCTGCTTTTTTCATCCATTAGAATTATCTCATTGCACAGTTTACTCAAACCACTTGAGGTGGTAAAACCTCTTGGAAGATACTGCAAAGAAAATATCCCAAGTTGATAGCAATATTAATTTCATTCCACAAATTCAATTCTAAACAAGGTATAGAATGAAGGACTTATTACAAATGAATCAAGTCGTTGGTTTGAGGCGGTGACAGGGACCACAAAATCAGTGTCCACTGATGAACACTCATTTTTTGCCGTTTTCTTCACCGTTTTATATCGTGTAACCTTTCCTGAATCAGAAGCAGACCCACAAGTAAACATCAACAGTTTCCTCTTTTTTTTTTTTTTTGAATAAAATGTTAAATTAAATTCAAAAAAGAAAATAACGTTTTTACAACAAGTGCCACTTTTAGTTAAGAGTTTTTGTCAGAAAAACAATTCTTAAAATTTGAAAATGAAATAGATCACGATCTTGATTGGAACCAGAATTGGAGTGCCTTGTCGAAGCGAGCATCTCCACTTGATTTGATTGTTGTGATTTGATTCCTCATTTGTTTATCAATCCAAGTGATTAGGCGAGCACCTGTATTCAGCGGTTCACCATGTCTACGACCATTCCTTTCACGCCATATCATATGAATTGCAGTCTGAAAAAGGTAGCGAGCGACGAAGCTCTCAACTCGATCTTGCCACTGACCCGAGACAGTAACAATTAGAGCTGACCAGTTTGTTGAGTATTTTGCCTTGTAGATGTTTTTTGCTAGATTTTCCCAAACTTCAGTTGCAAATCTGCAAGAAAAAAATAAGTGATCCCTCGTTTCTAGGTTGTTGTTGCAAAGTACACATGTTGATTGCAACCCTCTATTCCATTGAATCAAACGATCTCCGGTTGAGAGTCTATTTTTAACAGCTAGCCAAGCGCAAAAGGAGAATTTTGGTGTTGCGTGTGGAAACCAAATTCCATTGTGCCATGAGACCTTGTTCAACACTGTTCGGATCTGATTCCATGTGTCTCTTGTGCAGAATTTTGTCTGATACATATTGTTCTTCCCCCTCCAGAGAACCATATCAGCCTCCTCTACACGTTTAAGCCTCTGTGAAAGAAGAGTTTCCTCTATCTGATTCAGAATCACTGTTCTATGTCGTCTTCTCCGTAGGTCAGACCAAGCTTCAGCTACAGTCGCATTCTTCCTTACTCCTAGGTCGATTACTCCCCTCTCTCCGACTGCGTCCATCAAGCAGCCTAGCTGTGACCAATTCTCATACCAAAACGATGCTCTATTTCCGTTTTTTACTTCAACTTTACAAAACTCTTTTGCTTTAGCTCTGTATTTCAGTAATTTAGCCCACATCCACGAGCCATGATTTGTTGTTGCTCTTACCGACCAGAAATTATTACTTTTGAGAAGGTACTTATCAATCCATCTTACCCATAATGAAAACCATAAAATCTTTTGAAAACCATAAAATCTTTAACTCGAAAGTACCGTAAAGAGCTCAACTTACCCGTCTTGTCTTTGACAACTTTCTCGTCATTCTGTGAGTAAAGTATCTCACAGCAACTCAGTCCAAAAGGTGTGACATGAAACAAGAGATTCCCTTCGTGTCTGAAAACAAGAATGTCGCCGACCTGAAGATTGTGACCCACCGCAAATTCTTCCCATCCTTTGGTCATTCTTCGGCCGTCTATCTTAATATTCCAGGTGATCTCCGACGCGTCTGATCTAAGTTCTGCAGCGTTTCCCTCTTGTCTTCCCTCTAAGTATTTCGAATAAAAAGCTTTAGGAATCAACTGCAAACAAAGAAGAACAGAGTAAAACAAAATGTAAGAAAAATAAAATCTAACAACATGCAGAGAGAAACAGAGAGGGAGATTACAATATAGGTTTTGAAGCCTGGAAGAATAGGCTTCAAGAAGTGTGGCTTGGCCGAAGAAGAGAACATTGAATTAGCCATTGATGAACCCAGCAAATGTAACCAGTAACCCTAAGTATCTTCAGATTTCAGTGAACATATATAGGGGAAACACAGCCTGTCGGGTCTTTTCGTTTTCCCAACATTGTTCTGTCTGAATTCGTCATCACATGTTTTGAAGAATAGGCTTCAAGAAGTGTGGCTTGGCCGAAGAAGAGAACATTGAATTAGCCATTGATGAACCCAGCAAATGTAACCAGTAACCCTAAGTATCTTCAGATTTCAGTGAACATATATAGGGGAAACACAGCCTGTCGGGTCTTTTCGTTTTCCCAACATTGTTCTGTCTGAATTCGTCATCACATGTTTTTATTTTATTTTTAATAATTTTTTTTTTGTGCAACTTTTTAGTAATCAAACGGGAAATCAGCTTGTCGGATGCTCTCGAGTGATCATTAGAAATTTTTCGGATTCGGATATCTTTCGGTAAAGATGTAATAAATAGCACTAGATTGTGTACCCTCGCGTTGCGCGGATTTAATTTAAAATTTTCATTTTTTGTGTATAAATATAACCAATTGAATTTTAGAAGATTTTACTTTATTTATGTGCATTATATTTTCAAAGTAGTAAAAAGTTTCTCACATTTTTCACTAAATTTTATTTCGTTATCTTCTATGATTCACTCGTAGTCTCTTGACATTTACTCTTTTTTTCTCCTTAGATCGTATCTATTTTCTCTGGAGAGATGTTTGTCATAAGGTTTCTTCGACCAAGTTTTGGTGCATTTAAAATTGCTTCATAGACACCAAATCTCACATATGGACTCATTCCTATTCACAAACATAGGTTTCAGCGTGAAATTTTGCACTTTATCTCGACCATCAGAAAAATACAAAATTCTCTTTCTACATATATAATTTAACATAGATTATGATTAAAAATAGTATTCTTAATGTTGATTTTGCTAAAATGTGACACTTACGAACTCATATAAATTATTCTAATTTTAAAATTCATTTATTCAAAAAACTCTTCAATCTACCGTTACTATTCTAATTTTCAAATAGCATTCTTAGATATTATTATTACACAGTTTTATTATTCTATAAGATTATTTTAGTTTTATTTTTGATGTTTAGGATAGGTTTTTGCTTTATTTCAAATCACCTTAGTTTTTTTAATTTGTTAATTTCCTAAACACTGATTAATATTTATTTTTCTTTTTTTTAAGTATTCATTTAAAAAAGAAACAAAGAACCAGTTTTTAATTTAGAAAACATTAATAATATAGAAAAAAATTATTAATTTAACTATTTATATTATATTATAATGATAAATAATAATATGTTTTCGATCCTTCATATTTTTGAATCGGTACTCAAATTTTAAATGCCTATTTTTCAGAAATGAACTTTTTATTTTAATTAAAACCCTTTAAATTTGGTATTTTTAAACTCTTATTTTCTTTACTCTAATAAATAATTGTAACACTTATAAATATTTTTTGTACCACTAAAATATATGATAAGTTTCTTTTTTTACTATCTCTAACTATTTTAAAACATTTACTCATTATATATTAAAATATAATTATCTATTCAAAATTTTCAAATTTTCAGTTGTCTATTGAATTTTTTCTTTTTTCATAATATTTAATTTAATTTTTGTCAAATATTGTTTTAGTTTAATATGTGAATTAATTTTAATTTTATAGTTTTTTGTTTTAATAAATAAAATATGTGGAACCTACAAAAAAAGAAAATATGATGACATGGATGATGATGTGGACACCCTAGATAGAAAGAGAACTCTCTAATTATATACATAGATTTCGCATAAAACCTTTTTTATATAGTTTATTTTTAATGTTTAAGGTTATATAATCATCCATGTAATTTGATATTTTTTGCTAAAAATAAATTTTGGAGAAGAAATTAGAACGATTCAGAATCAAAATTAAGTTCTTGTAAGTTCTGAATGAGCAAATATGCTTTCTTTATTTGAGTAGAATATTTCTAAGGGTTTCAATGGATGTTTAGGGTAGAGCAGACACAACTATTAGCGGACTTGGCCACTATATCTTTGGAGCAGACAACAATAATCCATAGACCAAGTTCATTTCCATGTAAAAGCGGTCCGTAGTTGGTCTCCGGTAGATTTCTTCTAGTTTTCTCGATCCGTACCACTACGGATCTATACTAGTATTTTTGCAGTCACTTTGGTGACGGGTGGGTAAAAATATTTCCGGTTTATTTGGATATCCGAGCCGTTTCAAAAAATCTTTCATAAAAAAATTTGTTCGGTCGGGTTATATTTAACCCAACTCATACACCGGATATTCTATATTTAATAATTTAGATATTTAAAAGATTTGATTAAGATTTATAATTATGATTCTCCTATCATCTTTGTTTGATTTGTTTTTTAAGTGTTTTAAATCATCATATAATACATAAAGTTAAAAACAAATCAATTTTTTAAATGCATATACTGTGATTCGAAATTTTAAAAATGGACATATATTATCCAATTGACACTACAAAAAAACAGTCGTTTTGCGAGGGAATTGCAAGTAATTTGCTACGAAAACGACGCGCGTCGCACTTCCGTCACACAATTTGCGAGGGAAAGTTTTCTCGCAAAATTGCGAGGGACTTACGAGTACTTTGCGAGGAACAATATACTCTATCGCAAATCTCCCGCACATACCTCGCAAATCTTTACCCTAAACCCTAAAATACATAAAAATGTTTTGCGATCTTTGATTTTTATTTATAAATATGAATCTAAGAGACCATATAATCAGACAAGTTGAATATATGGTGATGCATAAAAAAATGTTGTATAGGTTTCAATATTAACATTTTATTTTGAAAATGTTATAAACATTGATTCATATTATATAAAAACATAAGATCATCATTGATGTATTTGAGGAAAATGCACATTCGGACGAATTCAAAGTATATGATGAGAAAGTACATTCTAATGACTCAAAAAAATGAATCCGAATGATTTTTAATAGTGTTTTGTTGTTTTTTTCAAATTGATTCTATTTTGCGAGGGTTTTGCGAGGGATACTAGTAATTCCCTCACAAAACTAAACCCTAATTCAAGAGTTTGCGAGGGAATTGCATGGCTTTCGTAGCACTTCCCTCGCAAATCTTTACCCTAAACTCTAAAAAAATAAAATTCAAATTAAATCTTTCATTTTTCATGAGAGATTTGCTACAATTATCCATCACAACACGTTTTCAACTTTTAGTAACTTTTAGTTACATTGGTTTTCAATATATCCAAGGGTTTTGCGAGGGAATTGCGAGGGACCATAGCAATTCCCTCGCAAAAGTGGACACCACTTGCGAGGGATTTGCTATGATCCCTTGCAAATTTCTCGCAAAACTTCAAAAAAAATATGAAAATTTTTTAAGTTTTTTATTCCAAAACGTTTTAAACATTTCCAAAACGTTTTAAACATTGCGAGAGATTTGCTATGGTGCCTTGCAATTCTCTCGCAAATATTTTCAGTTTTTTCGCGGTTCAATTTTTTGGCGGAAATTTTAAAATTTTTGGCAAATATTTCAAAACATTTGCGAGGGATTTGCTAGGTATCCCTCGCAACTCCCTTGCAAATTGTTTTCAGTTTTTCGCGCTTCAACGTTTTGGCGGAAATTTCAAAAATTTTAGCGAAAATTTTCAAAATTTTTGCTTGAGAATTGCTAGGGAATTGCGACGGTATAAATATATATATAAGTGATTGCATGTTTGAGCTATGCTCAAACATCTCTCATTTCCTCTTACTTAAAAACTCTTCTCTCACTCATTCACATCTCATTTCCTCTTACTTAAAAAGTCTTCATTCCTCATTCACATCTCTTCAAAGGTATGTTTTTTAATTTCATTGTTAGATTTATGTATAGATTTGTATTATTATAGTTTTAGATTTAGGAGTTTGCTAGTTTTAAAATTAGAAAATTAGGATGTCTAGATTTAGATTATTGTGAAAGGTATTGGATTTGTTAGTTTTGGATTTAGAAATTTAGTTTTATATTAGGATTGGAATTTTAAATTATTTTAGGTTTCATTTAGAAATTGAATTGTTAATTTTTAGAATTTTTTAGTATGGAATTTTAGATTATATATTAATAACTAATTTTCAAATTTAAATTGTTATTATTTTTAAAGATTATTAATTTTAGAAAACTTTTAAGGATTTTCTTAAATTTGACTTAAAACTTTCTTATTGTATTTTGAATATTATTATGCATTATAGAAAATAATATTATGCATTTAAAATTTATCAATATATATCTATATATTGATAAAATTTAAATGCATTTTATTATTTTCTTTTATTTTTTATTTTTTTTTAGTTGTTCCTTGCAAATCCATCGCAAAATTTAATACGGATTTTTTTTATTTTCCCTCTCAAATCCTCGCAATTTGCGCGTGTTTTGCGAGGGCATATATTTCCTAGCAAATATTGCAAGGGAATTGCTACGTTTACCGATTTGCGAGGGATTAGCTACATATTCGTCCCTAGCAAATCGATTGTTTTCTTGTAGTGTGACGAAAATGTGTGTTCAACGTTCTACATCGATTAAAATATTTAAACAATGATTTAGAATCATATCATAAATAAGAACATTAATAAAATAAATGAGTTTTTTGGCAGGACGGGTTTGGCGGGACGGATTTGGTGGGACGGGTTTGGCGGGACAGGTTTTTGAATCAACAATAATAAAAAGATTAAAATATCATTAATCCGCCGCTTCAATACGGATTAAATCCTTATTTTTTTTAATACCACAAATATTAGACATATTAAATCAGTCTCATTTAGAAAAGATTGTATAAAACCAAAAATTGTCCCGTGGTATAATGTTAATAACAATATTTATTTTTGACCCCTGCAACATAAATTACTAGCTCCACCACTGGTTGAGTGGTTTGTCAAAGCGGATTAAGTTAACAGTTTAGAAATGATCTATTAAATGTTGAATGTGTTCCCACTTTTTGGTTGAAATGGGCAATTGTTACATAATTGAATCATCTGATAGTTAGATCATGATAGTTATCCAATCGTATTAGATCGGTATAATAGGTTTTCATACTATCTTATTATTAAAAAGAATGTATGTGAATACTGAATGTCGATGAAATAGAACCATGTTAATGAATCTTTTATGTGCTTAGAGCATCAAACTAAGTGTACCCTGTTCTTTTGCAAGTCGTTGCGACTGCGACAGGGACTACGACGTAGACAAAAAAAATAACGATGAAAAAAAGCTGTCGGAGAAAACATGTTGCAGTTGCAGACATTGGAGATGTATTGCAGTTTCTGCTTTTTCTAGCAACAAAA